GAGTAGGTCTCATTGACCTCCCTCCGAATGACTGCCGACCTGGAGTTAAAACAGTGCATGTGGTTCATTGCAGCCTCACCGATGAGACCTTCCTTACCTTTGAAGGCCACGTAACACGGCGTTCTGCACTTACCGTAATCGTTGGCTATTAGCTCTACCCTGTTGTGCTGGATAACACAGACGCAGGAGAAAGTTGTTCCTCAGTCAATCCCAATAGCAGGAACTGTTGACCTATCTTTTTGTGGTGCACAAATGCCGATGCGTAATGTCGAATAATGATGTCTACCACAACCGCTGCAACCCTTTATATCAACTGCAGATGATCCTGTCTAACCTATCCACAATGCTTGCTAACTGTCAGAATTATTTTATACAAGCAAGGGTTGCCAAACTTTCATGCTTCACCTCATTAACTAGCGATTACGCCCTTAAGATTTGTGACGCACAATGAAGGCTCGGCTCACACACGCCTGTAGGAGAGCGCCGTCATGAGCAGTGTTAGCATCTCCATGTTGATGTGTTGGAGGCAGAAATACTGCAACGTAGTAGTTGCAACATATCGATGCATGACTGATAAAATCTTGATGCCTAATGGGCCCACTTAATGTGGCAGGAACTTATTGCCAGAATGTAGTCACCCTCACTCGTCTACAATAGGTAACCTAAAATGGAACTGAGGAAAGGGTCATTTTTATTTTTAACCCATATTTATTAGTCTTGTCTCGGTACTATAAATCTGTCTACTGCTGTATCCATGGAGGGTAGGACAGGGCACGGCAGAACTAATCTGATTAGAAAAGGTGGAATTAGATCAGTGCAGAACAGCGTGGAATCGATGACTATGTATTGACATCAGTGAAACGGATTATTGCAGTGACAGAAAGTGCCTGATAGTGCTCCTGGAGTGAAATGATCAAGACGGAGTCAGTCACCATGAGGCTAATGATGGACTCCAGCAATAGAGCCAGAAGTAGGTAATGCTGTGAAAATCTCTATTGGTTTGATTCCGTGCCCTCGTAATTTTCATCATGCTACCGTTTTGTCGAATGACAAGGGAGGTGGTTGTGAGAGGTGTTGGCGGAACCATGTATGCTTCGCTGTGGTTGATCCATCGAAGGAGTACTTTAGCAATGTATAATGTGTTTATTCACCTCGATTACCCATCTGCATAGTTGGTGACACCAAAGTGAGAGCTGTATTTAGCAGCTTGATGTAGCTGGTAGCGTACACCTACTTGAAGTCTTCCGCGCACCAGTCACGTCCATTTTATTAAAACAAGAGGGGGAATATAAATTAGGGTGACAAATAATTAAAGAAAATATTTGCTGCATGTAGAAGTTTGCATATGGGCTGTGCAAAGTGTCATCTTGGCAATATCTCCCACGTGACACTGCTTTCGCAGCCCAAAGCAAAGTCCGTGCACATTTTTCATCTTCGCCGTTAACACACAGCTCTTAAGCACCCCACGTCCTTTGATATGTTCCCATTCTTCCCTTTCATTTGTCCTGCCATTCATTTTCCAAAAAGTTTTCACCGCGATAGATTTGCATAACCTGGCTCTGCATTTTCTCCTTCCATTCCAGTAGGCCATTTCGATATGGAGACGGCTGCACTTACTCTTTGCTCCCTTCTACTACCAGTGCCGATCCCAATCACACTAATATTTCGGTTGACTGGCTCTGTTGCTGCCGAATAAATTTGCCATCTGACCGGCTTACAGACAGATAGCCAAATTGTATGACTCATTTGCTAGGTGTATTGAGTTCATACTCCCTTCTGCTCATGATTGCTACTTGGTAATGCGAATAACACATCAGGATTTTCGTTAATAACTCTTGCAGTGTTAACCACTGTGTGCGACAGGCGATGACATGCATTCACGCACACTGCTGCGTCTAACACGCCAAATGAAGGGTTACGATGGTTTGTGGCCCTCCCCTCCACTTGCAGTCAAGTATTTCAAATTTTGCTCCCGCGGTGATTGCTCTCGTATTTTCTGTAGTGCAGGCTTAATTTATCCGTCTGAGAAAAGAAATAATTACACGAATCGAGTATTTGGAAGTCTCCTGACAACCACTGTTGTGATGCGGCACGAATGCGATAGTATTTTGCACATTCCATCACATGCCTCCATGCGTGATTGTTGACATTTCGGCACCGACCTCGAAGCAATCAGAACGCACGTGCTACAAATGAAGTTGCCACGGTGTTGAAGTGGGTTGCCAAATGCTGCGGTCTACAATTTGTATGTGCTTGCCATCATGGTCGACTTCCTGCCCAGACTGCAAACCTGATAATCAGAAAGTCAAAATTTCCGGACACTTTACCAAGTGACATACCGATTGGTGTACCTCCCGTAAACAAAACTATTTAAAACACATTCGTACCCACAGTTTGATGGGTTGGAGTTTCAAATCAACCTTGAATTCACACGGCCTCCACCATACATCACCACATTTCAATGTGTGCACACCTGAAGCAGTGGGTTAGCACTGCCACAATTTTCTGGTGGTGCGATATGGTGAAATGGCGTTCAAATCAACTGGTAATTCCACTACACGTTCTAATTTTGCACGACAGTCAATGACATTTGCACAGCCTGGGAGAGAACCGATCACTAGTTTTCCTCAATTGACAAACAGGGTTCTGATTCATAACATATTCATCTTACAAGATTTCAATTTTGCGCTTCTCTGTAGGCTTGCGGTCACATTGAATTCAGGCACAATAATAAATTCTCCACTAAAACTCAGCATTTAGTAGCATGTATGTCAGAAAAGCCTGGTGTAACATATCTGCTGAAATGACAGTCACGTAAGACGGAGGTGTCATTGCCA